TAGGTTCCTGCAAGAATCCAGATGAACAGTGGAAATTCTGAACTTAAGACCAAACAACATGGCTCCAGGAACACACCCTGGCAAAGTCTATTCATTCTCAAAAGCCAATGTATGCTTCTCATCTCTCATCTGTTACATCAGAAAGGGTCATATTTTAAAAACAAGTTAGTGGATTCAATATAATCAACCTATTGATGCTTTTCAAAGAGCAAAACAGGACTGTTGATGTTCAGCCAGATTTTGGGAGAAAGGGGTGTTTCACATCTGTTTTTAGCAAGTGGAATAGGGATCTTGCAGAGAATGGAAAGTAGCCCGCGTGCCATCAGAATCATAAATACGGATCCACTTGGAGGTTCTATGTGCAAAGGATTAAAGCCTGTGGGACCGTGACGGGGGGACGGCGTCTGGCTCTTACTTGCACAGGTGTATGCAGCAAGGCTCCAGGTGAGGGCGCTCACGGTGCCTGAGTCCCTGGTCTTCCACAGGTACTGGAGCTGAGCAAACTTGCTGGCCACGCTGATGAAAGTACTTAGATTCTGTTTGCAGGCAAAACATGAGAAAGTTAGGAGTCCCTCAGTTAAAGAAACAAGAGCGCCATGTACTGAGCGCGCTTCTGAAGCCAAACTGTCAGGACAAGAGACAACCGGTTTGTACAAGGACAAAGCCCGGGTTCGGTGAAAAAGCAGGCAGCAGCGAGATGCTGGTTTATTAATGCACCAATCCCACTGTTCAGTGGGTAACTGGTGGGCTTGCAGCTGGTGTGGAGGTGGGAGTAAGGATCATCTGACCACCTGCCAATAAAAGCAGATAAGAGAGAGAGAGAGATAAGATAGATGAATAGAGAAGACAGATGAATGGATAGATAGATAAGATAGATGGGTGAGTGCATGGATAGACGGAGAGATAAGATAGATAAGATAGGTGTATGGATAGATAAGTAGATAGATAAGACAGATGATGGATGGATAGATGGACAGATGGGTGGATAGATGATGGATAGACAGATGATAGAGAGATATGGTGTTTTAGAGCCTGGGGAAAACCATGCTGCTTTGAACACACAGACTCAAAGTCCAAGCAGCAGGCGAGGCACACGGGCTCTGAATTTCTAGCTATTCCAACCAGTCCTTGAGGGGCTGCGCTCAGGCCCTCTACTGCCCCGCGAGGTAAGAGACCACGAGTTGGCCTGCGGCGCCACAGCGCCCTCCCCGGCGAGCGGGGCCCGGCCTGTGCTGTAGGTGGAGGGGACACCAGGGGCAAGGCGCCCCGGAAGTCAAGAGAACCAAAGGATCCAAGGAGGAATCCTGAGCTGGGGCAGCAAATGCTACAGAGAGGCCAAGGTGAGGACCAGCAAGCGCCATTGGCTCCAGCTCGAATGCAAGTGGCTGGTGTCCTTGACCGGAGCAGCTTGTTTAACTTCCGACCCTCAGGAGGAAAGCAACATGACTGGGTTGGGGGTGGGGCATCAGGTCTGGCTCTGCTCGGTCCCCCGCACCTGTCGCGGGGCTGGCCCTTGACCCGTTCTTATTGGGTTACAGCAACACGTCCTGGTAAAGGCGGAGGAGGGAAGGGGCGGCTGGGACATGGGAGGACTGTGGAGAAGTCCGGGCGAGTGAGCACTCCAGGCAGAGAGCAAGGGCCTGTGCTCAGATCCGAAGACAGGTCACGCCAGGAACAAACGGCTCGGACGACTGACCCCAGGTGGGAAGACGGCGTCTGCAGCCCCGGCCGGTGGGGAGTCGGGTCGGGACCGCGAGCACGGAGGACCGGGCCTCAGAAAGCCTGGGCACGAGGACTTAGGTAGGGCCCTGTCCACTCGTGTCAGGGGGAAGGCCACTGCCGAGCAGATACGCTAACCGCGTCTGCTGGACCTTCCACCGGATCCGTCTTCAGGAGGAAATGCCATCTTCGGAATCAAGAAGAAGGAGTCTTCATAACCAAGGCCCGGAAAGATTTCGCAAATAAAAATACACGACGCCCGGGGAAACTTGAATTTCAGATCAACAACAAGTAATTTCTAGCATAGGTACGTCCCGTGCAATATTTGGGACATATTTATGCTAAAACCCTGCCCATTTGCTCCCCGTAGGTCACAAGGTTGGAACGTAACACCCTTCCAAGCAAGGGTCACAGCCAAGACGCTGGGGAGGGGGTGGTGAAGTTCATGAGCCTGGGTGTGACCACCGATCCTTCTCCTTCTCCCTTTGGGTGGAGAAGCGGAATCCAGTCACTCTGGAGAGAGGATCTGGGCTCAAATGCTCCCTGACCCACGCTCAGAGCCCTATTCTCACACTATGGGACTTTGGGGCCTTACCCAAGGTAGGATAAACGCACAGGGCTAACCGTTTTCCAAGGACAAAAATGTTTCGGGGGGAGAGGGGCAAAGTTAAAAAAAAAATCATGAGTATGGGGCCCGTGGGTGGCTCAGCTGATTAAGCCTCTGACTTCGGCTCAGGTCGCCATCTCGCAGTTTGTGAGTTCAAGCCCCGCGTCGGACTCTGCTGACAGCTCAGAGCCTGGAGCCTGCTTCTGTCTCCCTCTCTCTCTCTGCCCCTCCCCCACTCATGCTCTGTCTCTCTCTCTCTCTCTCTCAAAAATAAAAAAAAAAAAAAAAAAAAAAAAAAAAAAAAAAACATTGGGGCGCCTGGGTGGCGCAGTTGGTTAAGCATCCGACTTCAGCCAGGTCACGATCTCGCGGTCCGTGAGTTCGAGCCCCGCGTCGGGCTCTGGGCTGATGGCTCGGAGCCTGGAGCCTGTTTCCGATTCTGTGTCTCCCTCTCTCTCTGCCCCTCCCCCGTTCATGCTCTGTCTCTCTCTGTCCCAAAAATAAAAACGTTGAAAAAAAAAAAATTAAAGAACTTTTAAAAAAAAAAAAAACATTAAAAAATTAAAATAAAAATGAGTATGTAGCCAATGTGTAATCATTAACCTGATAAGAAGCTCTTTATTTTAGGCTTATTCTACCACCGTTGCTCATTCTGTTGCTGTTAATTACCTCCCCAGCCAGGTGCTCTATGGCCCCCCCAAAAAGAAGTAAGAAAATGTTACCAAACGCCTGAGTGAGACTAACGTCTTGTAACATTGGGGTAGGACTGCGCTTTCAACCCCTTATCCTTCAATTAGCAGGTTAAACACTCGGCCCATCAAGTTCTTTGCAGGAACGGCGGTCTCTCTTCTCCAGGGGCGATGCACTTACCATGGCCAGATCTATGATCCACTTCTGCAGGGGAAGGACGAACCACGAGACCACAAATCTACCGAGCGCTAAGGGAGATAGCAGTGGCTCGGCCGCCCCCCACCCCGCGCCCGTGGGGACACGCCAAGAGCACGGAGGTGACGCACATAAGCCAACCTGGGAAAGGCTCTGCGAGGACCGGTCCGATTTGGAAAAGACGAAAATGGCTCAACATAACAGCAGATCACGGGAAGAAAACTGCCAAGCACCCTGCCTTTGTGGTTCTAAACGATCCTGCCCGCCCACTTCATTCCCAGCCATGCAGACCTCTCCAGGGTGATGTCAAAAGCGAGGCATTTAAAGAAGCAGCTCAACATTATAGGGCAGGCACGTTCTGCAAAACTGGGGTCACGTGAAACTCTCTTTCCCCCTTTCCTGCTAACCCCAGTGTAAACCCAGGTGGGGACAGGAGGAACAAGAGCGGATTTTCATCACGCCCAGTGAGGCGGCAAAAAGCACAGAAAGTCCGGCTCCAGAAGCCGGGCGGGTGAGGGGATGACCACCAGCCTCTGCTGTGACCTTGGGCAAGTCCCATTCCTTCTTTTGACCTTGGTTTGCTTATCCGCAAAACGGTCTTAACGTTCCTTTGCCCCATCTACCTCCCTCAGTGCCTCGGTGCACGTCACAGGGACCCAACGCGCTACGATTATAATGAATGACATTACTTAAATGGAGGGATCGAAAGAGACAATGCCCGGTGTGACTAGAACGAATTCCTGGCAACCTGGTCAACGCCAGAACGGCAGCTGGAACCTAGGCAGATGAAATCTTGTTTTTAAAACACTCTAACTCAGTTTCTTAAACAGAGGGCACCCAGTTAAATTTGAATTTTCAGACCAACAAAAATAGTCTTTTAGTATAGTATGACCCATGCAATATTTGGGACACACTTATGCTTTAAAAAAAAAAAAA